ATTAATTTTTTGTCCAGGGTAAGAGTGAAGTATTCCGTATAAGAGCTAAATCTTGTAAGGAACTGTATGATTTACTTGGATATACAATTGGTATTTATTTAGCCACCTGTCTGTTTCTTGGGCAATTAGCTAACAGAGCAATGCAATACCGCTCGAAACAGCCCTTTTAGGCACGTAAAGGAGTCTTTCTTGGTCATTAAACTTTCACCGAAGAGTCAGTGGTACTTGGGTATTAGTGTTTTATAGCTTTAAAATTATTATAACGCTGCAAGCATTGTTAATTGTTTAGACGCATGAGATACACTGCACAAGCGTACGTCCTTCATACACATTACGCCAAGTTGTTTGGGACGCAGCCATGTAAGACAAATAGTTACATCAAAGAAAGGAAATAAATTGTTAGCGTATCTGTGTTCCTCATTGTCAAAGTTCGTCGAAAGGCCATAGTGCGTCGCCTGTAGAGAGAATGAAATGTTTATTTGGAGCTTTGCGTGAGACAATTGGCGAGAAGGCAGTGCGTGAGATATGCACGCCATCTAACAGGCTCATCAGTCAAAGACGCTCAGCGTTGTGGTCCGACGTCCGTAATCGGCGGCAGCTCGGCATTGTGAATTTTACTGCGACACGAAGACGCCACGTGTCGCATCTCTGCGCAGACGCCAAGGACAGTGGCGCTCCATCAAGTAATTTCAGTCATGAAGCACCCAGTACACGGAAACAGCAAGGCGTCTTAGCGCTGCTTCTCATCTCTACAAAACGAGGCGGCAACCTTTCTTTCATTCTGGCAGCCACGGCAAAAAGGTGGCTTGCCAAACACAACAGTATGGAATTCATTTTAAAAATGAAGCCCCACAATACCCAATGGCCTTGTACTGATGTTGCGCCAAAATATGCGTAGTATTTGTTCCTTCCAATGCACCTTATCAGATTGTAATAACGCAGAAACCAGATCAAGATGACTGGTGGCTTCCCCATTCACCATTCTTCTTAATTCATTGAACGACAGAAAAGCAAGAAACACAGGCACGTAGACAGACAGACAGACAGACAGACAGACAGACAGACAGACAGACAGACAGACAGACAGACAGACAGACAGACAGACTGACTGACTGACTGACTGACTGACTGACTGACTGACTGACTGGCTGACTGACTGACTGACCGACTGACTGACTGACTGACTGACTGACTGACTGACTGACTGACTGACTGACTGGCTGGCTGACTGGCTGACTGGCTGGCTGGCTGGCTGACTGACTGACTGATTGACTGACTGACTGACTGACTGACTGACTGACTGACTGACTGACTGACTGACTGACTGACTGACGGACGGGCGGACGGACAGATGGACGGACGGACAGACGGACGGACGAACGGACAGCTAGACAGACAGACAGCCAGACAGACAGACAGACAGACAGACAGACAGACCAAAATTTCTGTCGAAGTATCCTAAGAGAGTCTATCGCATTTAGAAGTGTTGGAACGCGGATATAACTGCAGCCAGAGTTACCATATATGGGCTTGAAAGCACACGTGACCTTGTTTTGTACCCTTCTGCTCTAACCTAAACAAAATAAGAGGAAAGAGTGAATGCGCAAGTGAGAGAAGGAAGAAGAAAGGACAGGTGTTAAGTTGAGGGGAATAGTGAGAAAAAAACTAAACAAGTAAAGTCGCAGTTGAGTGAGTTGGTGCTAAATTATGTTTACGTTTAATACAGAGCACATAGACGAGGTACAAAAGGAACGAAAACCCGCTATGGTGTTCTATTGGCTAAGGTATTCGGCTACTGACCCGCAATTCGCGGTATCAAATACCGGAAGCGGCGGCCACATTTTTGTTGGAGCCGGAAGTGCTTGAGGTCTGTTTGCTTAGATTTAGGTGCACCTAAAGAACATCCAGATGGCCGAGATTTCCAGAACCCTCCACTAAGGCGTCACTCATAATTATATGCTAGTTTCGGGGCGTTATACCTTCAGCAATATTTAGTATGAAAACCAACGAAAAGAAAATAGAACGAGTGCTCTCTGGAGTAGCTTTTTGTTTTCGAGGAAAATGTGGCATACACACAAACCCTAATGGGTACTGTGGCGGCTTCACTTTTGATGGAGGCAAAAATGCTGTAGGCCCGTGTGCTCAGGTTTGAATGCACGTCAAAGAACCCAAGTTGGTCGAAATTTCAGAAGCCTTTTACTACGGCGTCTCTCAAAGTTATATGGTGGTTTTGGGACGCTAACCCTCACAAGTCAATCAATGAATCAATCAATGAATCAATCAATCCGAAAGAGTACCACGTTTGACCATGACGTTCATGTTACAACAGCTTCCTGTTTTTTTCCAAAAAAGAGAATTGGTCATCACGCAGAACTACTGCTGCTTAGCTAATGCAATCACTTTTTGGTTTTGTGATGTGAAATATCTTGGTCACTTCCCTGGTCAGCCTAAGTTTGTGATTCGAAATGGTTTCAGTTTCAGAAAACAGTGGCGTGTACCCACTTTCTAAGCAATTCTGATCATTCCTAGCAAGTTCTGTGCATATCAGCGCAGAAGTCGGCACTTCAGTCTTTCTAGACACAACCACAAAGAGTATAGATATTTCGAAGGAAATGAAAATAAGGTCGTCTCGATGCTTTATGCACACAAAATAGTACACAATCTGAACTGTGTTAGCCACAAATTTGGCTTAGATGTCGTTACTGCGCCAAGCTCGGTAAAGATCTACCAAGCTGAATCGTAAATGGCCGGCAGAAATTGGTCTCGGCGCACCTTTAGGCATCCTCCTCTGTTTGCTGAGTGTCACACTAGCTTTTTTATTGTTTGCCTATGTCATGTGGAAAGAAGTACAGTGCTCAACTCTCATGTCTATTACGACGGAGCGTCCTCGCAGAACAGAATGAGCGCCATCTGCAGTCACAAATATGCCTTATTGATCATGCGCTGCGTCACTGATGTGCCTGCCCTGCAATTTCCACCCTTCATCTTCATGGCCGCGATGACTGTTTTGACTGTCGAAGCACTGCCAACAATATAGAACCGAAAAAAAAAGAAAGCAGCAATTGCCTGGATAGGCGCCTTTTATACTCGCTTCGTGATATCATATCGCAGCAAAAATGGTTCACTTCGTGTTTTTTCTTGCTATTTGTTTTTTTTTTGTTAAATCGTTCAGATCTCTTTAAACGGCCAAAGCGTTTGTTGCATCCGCGATGATAAACAGGAATCAGGATTGTAAGACAGGCACATCACTAGCGCCGCACGTGCTCAGATGTGGCGTATTTGTGACTGCAGATGTCGCTCGTGCTGTTCTGCAAGGACAAACTTTGTTTCTCCTCCTCCTCCATCGTTAGATACGTGAGAGTTGGGCACTCTACATCAAACAGACTAGCTGGCGCGTTAACACGAAGCCTTCAGAAAAAAAGGGATCAATAACAGTTCATGCATGTTCTCACATTAGATGGCAGCGCTTGGAGTCTGTAAGCATGCTTTATCCCCAGAAAAGGACATTCTTTCCACCCACAAATAAAGCAGGATTACATCATAATAGCACAAGTAGTTTCAAGCGTTGACGAAGTGTCTTTTTAGAAACATCGCCGAAATTGTAACTAAAACGTCATGGTTACACTGGGTATGCTGCCATGGGTGTATAATAATCACGTTATACTCGCGTAAGCTAGATGTTAGTGCAGCAGTTATCCGTCACTTCATTGCTTTTGTAACCTGTCTCTGTGTTCTGCTTCACACGTAAACATGAAGTAAAGTTTTCGCAGCCTGCTCAACATATGCTGTTATACAAAAACATACCACTGCACTATTTTAGTGCATCCGCATAAACGTAGAGGCCGCCTTCTGCAAAAAGGCAGGAAACTAGCGGTGGTGCCGTGTTCTCTAACGCGTTTTTTACAAAGAACAAGTGCATGGCTATACGTACAGTCTTGGTGCAGATGTCACCTTGGTGCCACCTTAAACAACAACGTTTTTTTTCATGCCGCAAATATGTGTTGCACAGATCTTCTTGGAAAATGAGTTGCATTCATCTAAAGCTATAGTGCGGCTGTGTTTACCAGATTAGAGGCTTAAACTTGCTTTTGTCCCTGGCAACCCATCCTCTTGTATTGCCAGTCATGTGGCTGTAATCAGAGGAAAACGTTCATTTGGGTTATGAATATGACACCAGATTTTTTTCCCACCAGCGTTGGGTTGCATGCAGTGCTAAGCTCAACTATATAATAGTTTAAAGCAAGTGTACACGCATGAAATACCATTAACATCTTTTTCCACTTTATGTCGCAACTAGAATATGTCCACACCACAGAGTTATGTTGAGTTTGCAGCCTATTTTCCAGCTCCAATAGCTCAAAATAGACTCACTGCAATATTACTCTGATTACGTGCTCTGATTACGTTTTCCTCTGATTACGTGCATTATTACTGCACGTAATCAGAGGAAAACGTCCATTTGGGTTATGAATATGACATCAGATTTTTTCCCACTAGCGTTGGGTTGCATGCAGTGCTAAGCTGAATTATGTAATAATTTAAAGCAAGTGTACACGCATGAAATACCATTAACATGTTTTTCCACCTTATGTCGCAACTAGAAGATGTCCACACCACAGAGTTATGTTGAGTTTGCAGCCTATTTGCCAGCTCCAGTAGCTCAAAATAGACTCACTGCATTATTAGAATACCGACCGAATTGCGGCAGAGGGCCTTCAGTTGTCGTGAGCCAATTGAAGCCAACGCGGTGATCAGAGCCGGCAACAAGTTTACCTAGCGGGCTTAATCATGCATCGCCTTACAAGGGTAGCCTTTTGCGATTGCAATAAAAGCTAGCACCGTGATGACCGTGATACCCAGCCGCTGAAGAAAAAAAGGAAAATAAAGAATGCGAGTGCGAAGAGGTGCGTTAAGCGACAACGGCCCTTCTTATCCGGTTTTGTGAGAGCTTTTCTGCCTGCCTGCCTGCCCCCTGCGCGCGGCAGGTATAAAAAGAAAACCTAAAGCCATAAGGGAGCCTCTTGGTGTATTTACGGAGGAAACTCGAAGACCGTGCTGTTTTTATCATCAACCTTCTCAAGGAAGCTTTCCGATTGGCGACGCGTAAGCGGTGAGTTCAACTTTATGTACATTTTGCAGTAAAATGTTATACTATAAATAAATGTTCATTAATGTATACCCTCATAGAGGTTACTTGATTGCTTTATGATCAAAACAGATGTTTACGTAAGCTAAGCAGAAACACAGCATTCCACTTTCCTGATCTTTTTTACACTCTCTTGCAGCAAACACCTATGCAATTTAGGGCAGCTAAGGTGGCAACGTTGTAGAAACTGATGGAATGTTTCGCATGAATATCTTATCAGTCGAAAAAATTAGTTATAGAAATAATAGTAATATTTCGTGATTTGTAAGCATCCGTGGGATAAATCTACCTACCTATCATGCATCATATGAAATTGACAAGTGCATTGTCCTTTTTTCTTTTTTTTGTAGTAAAGCGTCTCAAGCCTTGTTATATATACTTATTAAATACCAATTTCTCTAATAAATAAGTATGATAGTTTCAACAATGTGTATATGAATACTGTTCTGATGAGCTGAAATAGCTTTAACTTCATCAAGTCATAGGGTACAAGAGCATTCATGCTGGTATTGCAGGTGATAATTAAGTAACTTTTTTCATTGTGACACGCCATACTTGAATAAATGTACAGCAGCCACTAATTCATCTTTTTATTGCAATTGCAAAGAGCTTTATCTAGAATATGTTTTTATAACCGTATTTTAGCTCACACATTTAAATCTAGACCTGTCAATATACTTCTGCAAATACTATTTTTGCTGAAGGTTTTGCTTGTCCACTCCCCGGAACTTACATAAACATTAAAGTGCCGCGCAGCTTCATTCCCGATGACTTCACTGCATAATATTATCGCTGCCCCACTTGAAGTATTTTACGTTGATCCCATTGTTGCGAAAACCATATGTAGGTAGAACACTATAAACTTTGATTTTAATGTGCCTCACACTCTGCTGTAGTAAACGGCCCTGTAAAAGATGAACCGCTATGCCTGAACTCAATCAAACTATTCAGAGTATGAAGCAAAGGTCAAAGCGTAAAGGCAAACTACGAGGTTTCCACTCAAAAGGATTCCCCAAGAAGTTTCTGCTAGATGTATTTTTATACCTTCATACATATTGTTACATCTTTTCTAGACTAGCATGAGTAAATATTAGAAAAAACGAAATAGCTGGTATTTCAATTGGAAGACGAGTTTTGAGTGTGCGCATTCCTGAAACTTCTGGATAACTTTTTTTTTCTTTCGTGAAATTGTTCAATAAACGTACACTCTTTTCAAAATTGTAAAGTTAGCTATCGAGCTAATTAGCTTAAACAACACTTACTGCGACTAGCCTGTTGACGCCTGGTTTGCTAAGGATGGACATAGAAGTTGTAGAGTCTGCTCTTTTGATATAAACACTCATAACAGACAAGCCCAAGAACGTTAAACTAGTACCATTTATGCACTTGAAGCACGACAGATGCTGCTATTGTTTGTGCAAATATCGGGTGCAGAGAAGCAGACTTGTGAATTATGAAAAGAGTTCATAGCAGCAGAGACTGATCTCTGAGGATAAACAGAAAAAAAAGAGAAAGCTTATGAGTGCTACGGAATGCATCCCTGAATAAGCAATAAATTTTGCAGATGCAAGCTTGGATTTCTTAGGCTTCATAGCTTCGTAGGCCCTACATTGAAGTTGAAATGTTTCTCTTATTTTCAATTAAAATTCAGCATCAGTTGTAGTAAACTGTCTCTACGCAACCAAGTGTTTTGTATTGTGTAATGAAAGGCTCGGGTTATTTAAACGTGACATTGAAGATATCCTTCTTTCAAGAAAGAAATAAGTAAACCATGTTACATGAATTTTGGCCAGATACCGAGCTATTCAATATCAGTTCTCGTAAGGTGTCATACATATATCGCTTGAGTGTTACTGTTTGTTAAAGTTCCGCTCAAGGCGAAGAGATTTTAATGTATAGTTATTGCACCTTGCAGTAAGCTCAAAACACCAATTGCGAAAGAAATTATAAATTTTGTACTATCAAGTCATAACTCTGATAATATTTTTTTTCCAGTTTAGATTTAGTTCGGCAGGTTCTAACTACAATGCTTGATTTTTTTCTTCTGATTTTTTTTATGAAAGGCTCTGTAAGCTTCATCAGCAAGGATTGACGTAGTGTTCAGGATTCGTTATCTACTGTTTTCCAAATAATAAAAGTACGCGTGCGAGGATTGAAGTAATGCTGACCACTTAGCATGCAATATGCTTACGTCTGATTGTTAGAAAAGGTGATTCGAAAGTATATAACTGAGTGATCAATCTTGCCACTGCGTACACTAAGAAATCAGTTTGGTTCAATTCAGGACTGGTCCCACACGATTCTTTCAATTTCACACCATTGTGTCGATAGCTTTCGTATGCAACCTTAGCGTCTGACCCATAGTGTCATTGAACAAAAAAAACAAATATCTCCTTAAGTGGGATCTTCTGAGTGGTAAAATATGGCCGTCTCAAGGATATTCGATTGCTCTACGCAAACCGAATATTCGAAGGCGGAAAAGTATTTGTGCGCTAAAAACGCAATATAACGGTGTTGTTTGTAAATTAGATCTATTCAATAGAACAACTGATATTTTCCTCTTTATACTACAAACGACAGAACTACAGGCAACCATGGCTTCGTCAACACTCACCCTGTATGGGCTCGGGATGGTTGCGTTCGTCGTTATCGCCTGCAGTGCAGAAGAGCGAATCCCAGTGCTTGGTGGCTGGCAGAAGCACAACGCGGAAGACAATGCCATCGACGACGAGCTGGCCCACTTTGCTGTCTCCAAGCAGGTGGCAAACCGGCAGTTTTTCGACACCGTGCTTGAGATTGTCGATGTTGAGAGCCAAGTATGTATGCCTCTTCAATATGCAGAGAAGCTACTTGATATCAAGGATCTTCATTTTTATATTATCCAAGAACTGCGTTTAACTGAATTGCGTTCTTTAACGTCGCTGACTCGCAAAAACGATAAATATGTCTTAAAAAAATTTAATGCGTACATTCGTTGAATCGAATATTAAAGAAGACTAGTGGTTATGTAAGAAAGCAACGTTTATAAAACAAATTTATAAAACAACTACACTTTTTGCAAACATGGAGAAAAACAATCACATAGACGTACTAAGTAAGCTAAGTTACCCAAACCAATGAGCTAACGAGAGTCTCACTAGCGTAGCGTTTTAACAGAAAGTGTCTCTAGGCCGGCACAAGCTAAATTATTAGGGAGTCGAATACTTTGGGCGATGCGATGATGTGGCGCCAATACGAGAGCTGCAGGCTGGCTTGAAGAGGCTACTGGTGGCTTGCGGAGGCTACAAAGAAGCCTGGAGCCTTGCTGAAGAATGGTGTGGTAGGCAGGTCACGTCAGCGACCACACTGAGCCCGTCGCAAGAAAGTCGGACCACGTCCCAGGTGTTCACCCTTGGGCTCGGTAGCCTGACTCCGTCGAACGCCTAACGCCGTCATCTATCTTTCTCTTTACCGCACGTGGCTCTTCTTTTCCCTCTCCCCCTGTCGAGCTTGCCACCGTGGCGTATTTTTGCACGTGCGCCATCGTTCTCGTCGTTATTTTTTTAACACCAAACGCACACTGTAAATAAATTGCGCCTGCATCTACACGTCACAAAAAAAATGAAGAGATGGCGTGCTTCTCGGTAGGCCCATCTTCGGTCCCTGTCTTTCCAGCTTTAAAGATGGGAACCAATAGAGTTCCCAAGAGGCTACATCAGGATTATTCAGCTCCTAATATTCTAAAGTCTAGTGTGGCTAACTATTGGTAATTGCACAGCACCGCCTCCTCTTAGGTGTTGACAAGGAGGGGGGGGGGGGAGGTGCTGCTTTCTTTTCGTGCACACCCCTGTAGCCAAGAAGCTATGCTGTTCAACTCTAAATGCCTTTAGGAGAAGTTCAAAGAGCTCACCATGTTCTTGTTTAAGAAGTGGGATTTGGTGAATTATTTGCAAGGCGATACCGCACGTATAATATGCATAAGTATTTCATTTAGCAAAATGTTTAATACATAAGGTGATACAATTTCTCAGTACTGTCTTTAGAACAACATGTACATTTTTTGCTATATCTTGTTATTTCCCTAGCCAGCTTTTTTTTCACTGTGATATATATCACCATAGATCCACTATTAGCACCACAAAACAAACGTAATACTTCAGTTCTTAAATTGCAGTTGAAGTGCTATTGAATCAACCCGCAGTTCTGTTAATCACAGACCTTTTCACAAATGCAGATCTATGTCACCCTTTCACTGAATTCAGCATACGGAATCGACTTGCCTCATTCCGGGAGTTCACAGCAAGGCAACAGGTGTGCCCAAGTCCAGAGAGGTAATCGGTTTTTAGCATAGAGGTAATGGTTTGTAGGCTCGATATGCTTCGTTGAAAACAACAAGGAAGTGCATTCACATTATTGAGCGAAATGTGCCAGATGTTCACCAGTCGAAGTAAATGGTTCCCAGACAATAACATAATTTCATCAATACAGAAGTCGCAAGGTATAGTCATGCGGAGTGTCACTAGCACAGATACTTGTTATTTCTTTTGTTATGTTAGAGCCAAATAATTTCGTTCAGATAGCAGTTATAGACAATACACCGCAGAAAACAACTTAGCGAAAGGCTTTTAAAGCTCCAACTTACTAATATCGAGCGTGTTTTATTATCAGTGAGGCATGCCTGTACTTGGCAAGAACAAGTAAGGCTAGCGAACTTGGCTGTTAGAAACCACAGAGGTTTTCACATTTTTTTTGTTCAGGGCTGCACCAACGCATCTACGTGACAGATGCTTAAGATATTGTTCTACTTGAATAATTGTTCTACTTGAATTTGTTCTTATAAATACCTTGGGGTTAACATTCAGTCTGACCTGTCATGGCATCACCACATTAACGTCACCCTTGCTTCAGCAAATCGCTCACTCGGGTTCCTTAAACGTAATTTGAAACACACCCCCTCGCACTTGCGTAAACTGGCTTATATCACCCTAATCCGTCCTAAAATAGAATATGCCTCAGCTATTTGGGATCCCGATCAAGACTACATTATTGAAAACATCGAAGCCCTGCAGAACCGTGCTGTACGTTTTATTTTTTCTGATTATTCACGTCACATTAGCGTCACTTCATTGAAAATTCGTGCCGAACTGGAAATCTTATCACGTCGCCGTAAAATTGCTCGCTTATCACTACTTCATAAGCTCTACCATCACACATCACTTCACGAGGACTTCTTTAGGCCACCCCCTGCCATCTTTCCGCGCCGCGATCATCCCTTTAAAATCGAACGCTTCCCTTGTCGCACTTTTCATTATGCTAGATCCTTCATACCGCGCACAATAACCGAGTGGAATGACTTACCTTCAAACATTGCAACCGTCACCGATATCACTGAATTTCAGAACCTACTAAACATGAGTGAAAGCGTGTGAACCTTTTGCGACATTCCCCCCTCTTTTTTCTTTTTTCTGCAAACCGTGTTTTTTGTAGAAACTGCGTATGTTCATGGTTCGTGTTATTTATTGCTGTGTTTGCCTACTTCAGTTATTCACACGTAATTTTGGTGATGTTGCCATTTCTTTATGCTTTATGGCACGTGTTGTTGTAGTAAGCTAGATTGCGTTTTATTGTACTCTTGTGACTCTATTTCCTTCTTTGTGTAGTTCAATTTTAAAATATTTTTTTAGTTTTATTATTGTTTGACTCATATTATTTCTTCTGATTATTTAAGATTATGCGGTAAGAATATTGACCTTATATTTATTCTAATGTATTTAGTAGCTGTACGGTGTTTAGTTTGTGTGTTTTCTGGTTCTATTAATCATTTCATGTACCTGTATGTGTTATAGCCCCCCCCCCCTTACCCTATGTAATACCCTCCTGTGAGAGGGCCCTTAGGGGTATTCTGAATAAATAAATAAATAAATAAATAAATATTGATGGAAGTAAGAAGTATATTAGTACTTCCATTTGATCTTCAGGAATGTGATTCCTATTTGATTATTCAGCCAATATTTGTTTGAGTAGCTGCCTTAATATACAGGTCTCTTCGGTTATTACTTAAAGTCGTTTACGGGGGAACTCAAATCAACATTCGTATGGCCTATTACAGCTCTAGAAACTTGCGTCACACCTTGACTGAGCATTGCATAATAAAAAATGAATTAGAATGCCTTTAGCGCGTGGTTAGTGCCTAAAAGCATGTTGCCGACAGCAGATATTTTACAGTTGTTTATGATTTAGAAAAGAAATAAGAATCTACTGTATCAGGCTACCACAGAGTTATGGGGTATGAAGAAATATTTGGTAACTGTTTCGTTGGCAATGTCATTTTCTTAACTAGGTCGCAGAATTACAAGACGTAGCAAAACAACGATGCGTCAAATTGTTCTGTTTCATAAGCAAGCTTTTGATGAATATATCAGGCTAAGAGAATACAAGTATAGGGTTAAAGCTTACAAGCAAAAAAGATTAATTTGCCTTTTTCTGTTTTGCCTTTACTCTACAGCTATGTAGCTCTTCAAAAAGATAAATAAGCGTGAATCACATGAGCTAATCAGTAAATGGTTAATGTTAATATTTGCAGTAGGTCTACAGCAGCGTGGACTAAAATTTCGGACCAAAATAGTCGTAAGTTCTGCCAAAAAATGTATTCACTTTAACTGGCCATAGTTTGTGCAATGGTTGAAACTACGAAGTTATTGAATAAAATGAATTAACATATTGCAGCATAATAGAACTGCTCCCGCCAGTTATTTGGCCTTATCGACTTAGCATCCGGAATTGATATACGGCTTCAGCGGTCAAACTAGCTTCAATGAATTAATTGCACATGCTCTCTACAAGTGCCTAGGTAGACCTTATTATCTTTATTATTTTTACTAACAAAATGGTCCAGGTAGCCTTGTGATGGCGACATTATGTTCATTCAACATTACTCGGAACCTTTGAGCAGAGACATTTAATAACACACAAGAGAGGATTTCATTGCGTCAAGACTACCTAAACCCTGAATATACACCATTTTGTGTTTATCGAGTCCACCGCCACAGTAAACCCTTGGTTTGCTTCGCATTCCGTCGAAAAACAAAACGGGAGTGTCTAGAGTAACAATGAAAAAAAAATCATTCATACGATCCGAGTTCGTCTCCTCAGATGTGCTGTGGGCTATCGCTGAATGCCGAAAGAATGTACTTTCCTGCTGAGACATATTATTCCTCAGGATTGGCCGAAATATCAGCGGGCACTTATAATGTTTTTAGCATAGAGGCTAATTTTGTTCAATTTTCTTGCTTACTTAGTAAACCGTGAGCGTGATGTCTTCTTTTTAAGCACCAGAGATGCCTGCACTCTCTCAGGAGGATTATACTATTGTTAAAAATATTTTCAACAGTTATCAATATTCCAACCTAAAATCACATAGAATATATCCTTTTTACGTTATTTTGGCATGATTTCTCGTTCTTGTTCTCACAGACTGTAGCTGGTACAAACTACAGGATCAAGTTCAAGATTACGGAATCGACTTGCCCCATTCCAGGAGTTTACAGCAAGGCAACATGTGTGCCCAAGTCCAAAGAGGTAATCGGTTTTTAGCACAGAGGTAATGGTTTGTAGGCTCGATATGCTTCGTTGAAAACAACAAGGAAGTGCATTCACATTATTTAGCGAAATATGTGCCAGATGTTCACCAGGCGAAGGAAATGGTTCCCAGACAATAACATATTTTCATCAATACAGAAGTCAGCAAGGTATAGTCATAGCGGAGTGTCACTAGCACAGATACTTTTTATTTATTTTGTTATGTTAGAGCCAAATAGTTTCGTTCAGATAGCAGTTATAGACAATACACCGCAGAGAACAACTTAGCGAAAGGCTTTTAAAGCTCCAACTTACTAATATCGAGCGTGTTTTATTATCAGCGAGGCATGCCTGTACTTGGCAAGAACAAGTAAGGCTAGCGAACTTGGCCGTTAGAAACCGCAGAGGTTTTCTCATTTTTTTTTGTTTAGAGCTGCACCAAGGCATCTACGTGACAGATGCTTAAGATATTGTTCTACTTGATAATATTGATGGAAGTAAGAAGGATATTAGTACTTCCACTTGATCTTCATGAATGCGATTCCTATTTGATTATTCAGCCAACGTTTGAGTAGCAGCCTTAATATACAGGTCTCTTCGGTTATTACTTAAGTCGTTTACAGGAGGAATTCAAATCAACATTCGTATGGCCTATTACAGCTCTAGAAACTTGCGTTATACCTTGACTCAGCATTGCATAATACAAAACGAATTAGAATGTCTTTAGCGCGTGGTTAGTGCCTAAAAGCATGTTGCAGACAGCAGATATTTTACAGTTGTTTATGATTTAGAAAAGAAATAAGAATCTACTGTATCAGGCTACTACAGAGTTATGGGGTATGAAGAAATATTCGGTAACTGTTTCGTTGGCAATGTCATTTTCTTAATTAGGTCGCAGAGTTACAAAACGCAGCAAAACAACGATGCGTCAAATTGTTCTGTTTCATAAGCAAGCTTTTGATGAATATGTCAGGCTAAGAGATTACAAGTATAGGGTCAAAGCTTACTAGCAAAAAAGATTAACTTGCCTTTACTCTACAGCTATGTAGCTCTTCAAACAGATAAATAAGCGTGAATCACATGAGCTAATCAGTAAATGGTTATTACTAATATTCGCAGTAGGTTTACAGCAGCGTGGACTAAAATATCGGACCAAAATAGTCGTAAGTTCTGCCAAAAATATGTGGTAGGCCCGTGTGCTCAGATTTGGGTGCACGTTAAAGAACCCCAGGTGGTCTAAATTTCCGGAGCCCTCCACTACGGCACCTCTCATAATCATATAGTGGTTTTGGGACGTTAAACCCCACATATCAATCAATCTGCCAAAAAATGTATTCACTTTAACTGGCCATAGTTTGTTTCCTGCTGTAGGGACAGGCTTGTGAAAAGTCTAGACACAATATAGGTTTTTTTTCACTGCATTAAAATGAGAGGTTGCTGCTACGTGTTGATACACGCTTATGCAAAAGGATAAATTGTTATTACTTTACGCTTTTGACTGGTAACCAGTACCACGTGTGCTGGCCAAAAGATGGGTCATATTTACCAGGAATGTGATATTTTCTTATACGTCGTGCATGAACAACAGTGAGTGTGTCAGTTTTCGTTTATGGTGAGGTCGTCAAAGCACCTGTGTTTTATCAATAAAGATATACTGAACGCAGCATTTCGCAACATCCTGGTCTTCAACACCCTCATTTTTTTTTCAAAACTGGTCTACCTCACATATATTACCGAAGCTTAAGTTCAGGAGAAGCCAACGGTTTTCAGAAAATAAAGACCATTTTTTCTAACATTTCTTATAGTAAACATTACGTTCCACTACGTAATCTGCGTTTTAAAATTTATTGCGGCCCTCAATTGTACATTGAATTCATTGTGATGACAGTTGTTTGCTCGGTTAACACAGTTACTCTTGTAGTTTTGTTTTAGCAGACATTTTTTTTGGAGTCAGTAAACTATTGTTTCTCTTTCTTCTTCGTTAACATTGCTTAAGATGCTATATTTCACTTAGAAGGCGAGCTCGATTGAAAAGCTACACCGCAGAAGCAATATAATCACGTGGGGTGCCAGCTAACAGATGTTCTTGCGTGAAATCACCCTGGCAGAAAGCAGATTTAGAGTGCAAGGAGACTATATGTTGCGGAGTAAGCTTAGCTACTTTGCCATATAAACGTGATTCAAAGCGGCAACAACAGATTGTTCGAAAGCACTACTTTTGTGATAGCTCTTAGCTATGGGGGAAACCTCAGGCCGCCTCAGTGAGGTATAATCGCTTGCCAATCTATACTGTACAAAGGCGTGAGATGATAAGTGCAGATAATTACTGTATACTATTTCCTCATGTTTGAAAAAAAATCCTGTCATGTTCTGGAGTACACTCGTTTCAATTCAAAATAATCGGCTCGTAATAGAAGTAAGACAACCCGCGCCCTCTATTTTAATTTTAAACTAGATCAGATTTAAACAATATGAGTCTTCTGTAAAGCTGGAAAAGTTTAGAAGTAGACGAACCCTGATACTTCGGCAAATATAGAGAAGACGGTGATGCTTATGAAGATTTAAAGCTCTTTTCTCAAACACTTCACACACGCGATGCATAAAAACCTTAATAGGTTATTTATGTTTGATCGAACCACGAAAAAAGTTGAATACTGTCGCACTCCTATTTTATTCTTCTTTTTTTTAGATCATCAAGGACGTATGCACTGCTGCAATCACTGATGTTCCCTGGACAAAGGTGCGCGAACTGACCTCATTCACCTGCGAAGGATCAACTGGCTCCCCCTAAGTCTTGATAGTCTTTCTGATTCTTCAGACTGCACTTTAAGGCGTTACAATTTGCACTGTTATTTACCACAGGACCTCAAAAAAGAACATTTATTGACTGCAGTCACCAACTCAATGAACTTGCTTTATTGTTCATCAATCATTTGACATTTTCATTAGCACAACTTTTTATTTATGCCCTCCCGGGAACAATTTCACTCTTGCTTGAAAAGTGCAGCAAGAAGTGAAATTGAATGTTTTTTATGCTGAAACAATCAGAAATATGTCCACATGTCATACAAGCACCTTAATTTGTATGCGTACAGTGTTTCCCGCTGGCAAGAAAGTCCTATCCATCCATAGCTTGAAACATTACGAAAGCTACTATTTACCGCCAATTTTGCCTACATGTCGCACACTTATCACCACTCACACTTCTAACGCTAGTTTGGCTTGCAATTACTTCGAATTTATTTCTTTCGTTACTCGCCCCGCTGAAACAGCAAAACTTCTGTAGACTATTCCATGATGCTTGTATCCTGGTGGGCATTCTGGTTATTGTCATATTGCCGAAGAGCTTTTGATGCACATTTTTTAACAGCCAAGGATGGTATGTTATCACCACAGCCAGTATTTAGGGCGTATTTGTAATCGCTATCGCGAACAAAAAGTAAAAAAAAATGCGCGATCGCTCTGAATTTGAACGCCAACACAATGCGTACCAGTAAAGTACTCTACAGCAAATAAGCCTAAAACTATGAAAGGGTTCATGGTTGGACAACGTGGTACAGATTCATGTCAATGGTAACGGAGCACAGAAAGTTTGAGATAGTTCAAAAAGTACAGGCAAGGAGCACGCAATCACAACGTTTATTAAAAACAACATATATAAAAAAGCAAAGGCGAGAACTTCAGCAACAAAATGATACAGTCACTCTTGCTCTCTTGCCCAGCTACGTAAATAACCCCCCCCCCCCCTTTTATTTATAGCAGCTCGTTCACCTAAAAAGAACTTTACATGGCTTTCACTCTAAAGAAAAAGTAACGTGAAGAGATGTAATAAGTTGCATGCTAGAAAGTCAGAATGGAAACTTTGCGTCAAGTAGTGTGATTTGCGTAAGCAGTGAAGTAGAATCAAGGTATCAGCCACATGCAAGTTGAACGGGCGCATGACGTGGCCTAGAGGCTGGGTCTGTCTATACCAGCATAGGAGCGGCCCACTTCGTGCAGTTCACGTCCCGAAAGACTTGAATACATTTCTGTTTTCTTCATCGGCCGTCGCATTGTCAGAACGCATAGCTTTATTGCTTCCACATGAAAGACAACAACTGAGAGCACACACCGTTTTGGGGGCGAAGCTCCTTAAGATGTGGGTTGCTTCCCTCCTGGAAGTACGTTGCAGTATAGTCGCTGCTTCTAGTTAGTTTTGAGAATTGCTCACTAGATGGTGTCGTAAGTATATGTCCTTCGAAATAATAAGCGTCATCGATTTACACGTCCCGGACGGCTCCGTATGGCCTCGGATGCCGGCGCTGCAGTCTTTTTTCTCGGGGACCAACTGGAAATTCCGCCCACTGGTCCGGGATTGCTCGAACGTACGTTCGTTCATATTTCGCGTGCCTGACAGCCTGCGGGTCCCGGGACCAGTCCTGAATGATCTCTTTCGGGCAGCTGGCAGCCGACAGCGCAAGGCGCATGCCTGTGCGGCCATCTTAAGTTAGACACGGAAATTTTTGACGTGCTCTTGCTCTCTCTTTGCTTTTCTGTCCGCTACTCGCATGTTTCTGGATTTCAGATTGCTTGCGAACCCAGTTCTGGTCATCAGTGTTCTGAGCCACGTCGAGGACTGTGCACATTCCTGAAGGCTTGGGTAAACACGCGTTGTACTCTCTAGGAAAAACAGTGGTGGAACGGCCGCGCCGGTCTACGATGCACACGTGCTCGAGTAGTCCCCTTACAGTAAGTTCTATCAAAACAGAAATAGGTATAATTCACTACATAACTGTTGTTTAGATTGGAATTGGGTCGGCGCTGTGGCCTGTGTACACCTATAGAGGGAGCAGACGGCATAGCCTGTCATAGCAAATGCCACAGCGGATGCAACCAGCACCAAGCGCGCAGATGACCCGAGGCAACTCCGGCTGGCTCAGGACTTTTAGATCACATGCATGTGACGTATTCGCCTATGCGCCGAGGCGTCCGCGGGCCACCGGCGAGTGATCTGGTACTTGGTGAAACGATGAAGCTCAATATCGATGGATGGCGTTATATGTTTTCGTGTGGTCGACGGATGGAAGAGCCCACCGGCAGGCAGGCAGACAGACAGACAGATAGACAGACAAACAGACAGACAGGCAGACAGACAGACAGGCAGGCAGGCAGACAGACAGACAGAGAAATATACATAATGCCGGAGGGACGAACACACAAAACACAATACAGACCTCCTTACTTTTCTAATTTCAATGGCAGACAGATATGCCTGGTCCAGCCGTTCACCACCCTCTCCTCTAGCCCTTTCCTGCTCTCCTCCAAACTCTTGCCTTCACGTGTGTTTTGCTGTCATGGGAGAGGGAGCCTCCACACGCAATGCCTATAGCAACAAAAAATGATGTGAAGTCATTTTTTTGTTCAGTTGTGTACAGATCAGTGGGGCGCCGTCTTGTATTCTTCTTGCTCACTATACTGGCGGTCACCGCTGGCTCTGAAAAGATACGCTGTTTTGAGATAACGTGTCGCCGTTCGTGGCGCTTGCGGGCCATCAATAGAGAAGCGTCACTGCAACGCTACTACATGCACTGCGACGTGTTGCGGTGGTTGCGTTGCTTCGAGCCACAAAAAAAAAAGGAGGGGGGGGGGCACGAGGAAAAAATCGGACGGACGTACAACATTGTAGTGGGAAACATGTATACCTCATCTTCAGCGTAGAGTGGTCGGGAATCTCATGTGACGCATGCAGTGTAACCTCTCATGTAGCGTTGCATCATGGTTTTTCTCTGAACGAAGGCAGAGCTGATGGCTCTTGTTGCTAGGCGCACTTTTCCACTGGAATTGAAAGAATCAAAGGAGGCATTGCCAGACAGACAGACAGACAGACAGACAGACAGACAGACAGACAGACAGACAGACAGACAGAGATACACGCACGATGGAGAGACAGCCGAAGAGACAGACATACGGGTGGACGCACGAATGGACGCACGGATGGACGCACGAATAGACGCACAGATGGACAGTTGGACGGACAGAAGGACGAATGAACGGACACATGGATGGACAGGCAGATGGGCAGATGAATGGACGTACAGAAAGACAAACGAACAGGTAGGTGAACGAACGGATGGATGGATGAACAGACCACAGACAGAGAGACAGCAGACGGATAAACGGACCATCGAATGAATGGACGTTTCGTCAAGCTCTTCATCGTTCACTCAGTGGGTATTCTGCGATTTTTTGCAGCTTTTGTCTTGCGAAAGTGTTCCTACTACAGGTACTCGTCTTTACACACATCACTGCGGCGCGCAGGCACGGTAAAGGTGCCGCACCTCTTCGGCACAGCATGAACAAAGTACGCATTCACCATGCCTTTCAGGTGCCTAGTAGGCACTTGGTTTATCCAAACAACGATGAATACTAAAACTTAAGATTGTTCCTTATTTTGCAATGTGATTACGTACCTTGCCACTGTACTAACAGTAATCGCCCCAAGAGAGTTTTCAGCGCTCTTTAGAGAGGCCGCTTCTCCAGCTTTTTCCCACGACGGTACTGTGCGTTCAGTGCAGGCCTGGCGTTCAGTAGAAGTGAAGCCTTTTTTACCTGCACCATGCCATCACCATCCCTCTGTCACCGTCGAAGCCATTACTGTTGAAGCGCTCCAAGTAAAACACCAGGTGTGCGTTCCCAGCGCAGCGGAAGCGTAGTTATGGCGGGAGATGGCTCGTGGTGTGCTGCAGGAACTGCACACTTATATTGTTGTAACGCAGGCATTTTTATTCGCAATCAATAGTGATCTGGATTAACCACGATCCGAATGAGGTCACTACTACACGGTTACTTTTAATCACGATCAGGCAGGATCGGGATCTAGAGTATCGCAATCCACGCAGCATGGCAACCCGTTTGAGAGATTGCGATTTCGTGTCCTCTGCACCCCCTGGCCAAGCTTGTTGAAAGCACAAGAAAAAGGAAAATCAGGCATAGTTCTACAAAGGCAGGTTTTAAAAGGTCGATATTTATTTATGAAAGAAATTACAAACTCTTTGTAGTGAAAAACTAGAAGTTTATGTGCAAAAATGCATATTTTAACATACGAATTGAGCGCATATAAATATGTAAAAAGCAAACAATCGGCAAACGACAAATTCAACTCTCGCACAGTCACATTAGTCAGAGCACTTCGAAGAAAATTCGTATGTATCACCGGCTTTCCGACTACGTCGCAGAGTATGCGCACTTCATGGTCGAATGAAGAGGCCATTATAGCAATTGGCCGTTGGCAGGGGCAACTGGGAGACTTGAGGCGCCGGCAGTGAAACTCTGGCGTGTGCAACAAAACTGCCGTTCAACTGCGTTAAGACGGCTTCAAACAGGGGTTGTCACTCATCAGAATTGAAAATGATGAGCGAGATTCTCGCACAGCATTATAGGTAAATGCAAAAACTTCTGCCGAAAGATCGATTTATGAAACTGCTTTTGCAGTAGCACGAAAAGTTTTTTACGTTCTAGCAGTTCTTGCACGAATAACATATTGCTCGTACATGGCTCTAATGAAATATTGTATGCTGAGTTTTGTCGATGCCATGTTGGATGAAAAGCAAGTTCCACCTCGTGAATTTCATCTGAGCCAAGCTTGAACAGGATTACTTGGGTGGTGAAGCAGTGGCCACAAAGTTCATCGCGATCAAGAACACCGATGTGAATCTCCTGGTCGCAAATCTAAGTGCCCGTGTGACACTGCAGTATTATATATACTCGCCAAACCGTTTCCGCCACCAAGCACTAGGGACGCTCTCTGCAACCCCTCTTCACCATACCGCCTGCATAAAAGCCACCTAGCGAGAGAAGGCACTAGTCATTTGTATCCCATTTCTAAAACTTTTCACTCGTAGTGTGTGTACACACAACAAATGCTGGTTGTTAGGGAAGAAAATGCTCACATGTTTCATCAAAAGCAGAAATCGACCATCGGTTGCGTCAGCTTTCCTTGGCGTCAGCGCCAAATGGAAGGTACAAAAATCATTGCTACACCCCTGCACAATATAACATCAGCAAAATGTCATCTAGCGCCAGATTTGGGGACGTCAATTCTGGTCTCACTTTTACATCACCTAACATCGCACGGAAGTCTTTTCATGCAATTGTTGTTGTTTTAAAGGTGAGCCGATCACGGGGGCAGATATCTTCTGATGCCCAGAAATCGTGCAGAAGCACGTTAGGTGTTCAAAAGTTTTGAATCAGCCATAGGCACACTACCAGTAAAATGCAACCGTTGTTCAGTTGAAGATACCGAAAGCATAAAAGCAGCTGCCAAAAGCAACCTGTTATTGTTACGCTCACTGTAAAAAACTAGCATTATTATTTTTTTACACTATACAATTCGTAACAAATAAAAGCTAAATGATAAAATTTATTTTACAGAGACATATGAAGGCATGCGGGTAGTAAAACATGCACTTGGTAAACTATAGACCAGGAGTTCTCTCGCAAGATGGTCCCAGGGAAGCCTGCTAAGCTGGATTAAAGGCGCGTTCCCGCTTGGCCTTCAAGGTAGCGAAAGCAGGAAAACACCAGAAAGAAATCTCTTCAACGCCTAATATTCGTTAGAGACCGAGGTTTCCACCACGCGAAAGCTAATTGCTTTCCCGCTTCATGGCTTTGGCTCCACTAGCTGAAACCACGTGATCTGAACAGCCGGCCGCAGATTGACAATGGGGCCAAAGTCGTCGGTGGCGGCTTGCATCGGCTCAAATTGCAAACCACCGGTGCAGCATGATAAAGCTTCATGGTCTCAACAGAGACGCGTTGATAGAGAGCATGGCTCGGATTACGATCGCCTAGAACACTGGAAGTAGGCGATTGTGAACGTGGTCTAAGTATGGTGTAACTTTCGCATTCACCGCGCTTGTCTGCAAGCTTATTTCATGAGGTATCTACCACACTCAGGTTCATTGAATTCGAAAGCGAAACCATACATAAAAATAACGTAGACACGCAATTGAGCTAACTTTCCTCGCAGCAACAAATGGATGCGAGGCTCAGTCATAGTGAGGGCCACCCGCGTTGCCAGTTCCTGGTTCCAGCTGATTGCCGGGCTTATTTTTCAGATACGCTTGTGACGACAATGGCTGCTTACGAACTTGTGTTGTCGCAAATGGCTCTAAAATGTCCACTGTCTTATCTTCGGCACATATCTTCACACCGGAAAAGCACGCATATTGAATTCTTCTGGCCTCCGACATTCTAGAGCAATCTTAATCGCCCAGCTCTTTTTGTAGTCTGTAGAGACGCTCGCTACAATCTGCTGACAGGATTTGTTGTCGGGTTCGCACGTTTCTGTTATCCACTGAGCTGTGCTTATTGCCCCTGGGACGTCAGCATTCGATTGATCGCACAGTGGGTTCACCATCTAAGTGGTTATCAGTGGATTGTGGAAGCCTAAAAAGGGAACTGCAGAAACTAATTTGATAAATCATGCCCTAGGTGATATAAATTTAATGAGCAATTGTTGTGTACGCCTCACTTTCTCGCATACTTTTGGTCGTGCGTTGTTGGTGAAAAAGCAAAATTATTTAGAAAACTCGTCACGCTTAATTATGAGTTCCACCTCGCTGTTGGCATTGCTTTCGTTGATGAATATGTGTCACGTCTTTTGTCCACCATATTGCCATAAATGACAACTTTGTGGACACTGGGGCATCATTGGGGGCTCACTTATTAGTGTTTTGGTGTCGGCGACCTATCTTTGCACCTCGGAGGGTGATAAACAACTTTCACGATTGTATACTAGGATATTTATGTTCTGAACTGCAAGTCCAAAGAGTTCTTTACTGCCCTCTAACGAAGGCAATATCGAAGCGTGTTTATTGACGACACGCTGAAACGCATACGGAAAAGTACGGAGAGCGCATCACGAGTGAAAATTTTATCAATTGTGCCTATTCTCAATGTTGAATGTGTATCACGCTCTATTCGATAAGCTTTACACTCATTAGTCATACAAACCACGCTTAAGACCCCTTATAGTTTGAGACATGTGTTTGAGAAATACAAATACCACACACACGAAAGAACAATCAGAGTGGTATCACGCACAAGTACACATTGCGACAATTCACTTTTCCATATGTACTTTTACATTTGCATTAGTTTTCAGCTACATGCGCTTTCTCCAGGTTACCAGCACAACCACAAAAGGTGCGTGATTGGTCAGCGAGCCACAGAGAGTATCGGCAATGGTACAAATTTGTTTTGGCAGTGATGACAATGTTATTTTTACATTATGAAGGTTTGGCGTTTCACGGCTTTGTTTAGGTGCTTTCTCTGTGTCATTAGCCAAGAAGTCTAGTATGTGGCGAAGATTTTTCGCGCTTTAGGGGAGGGGGGGGGGGTGAAGAACAAAATAGTAGTGTCGTAGGCGAATACGTAAAACCAGATGGGCTGAATAGCTCGGTCATACATTGTTTAGATAAGCCACATGGACTTGACGGACACAGTGCATAATGCTGTAGCATGTGCGGCTGATGAGAGCGCATATACAGAGGCGATTTCAATTGTATCTTAGGTCGTGTCCTGTCACCAGGATTGCTGTGTCGAAAGACAATGACAGTGCGGAATACCGTTGGCAACCTTACATTTTGAGACATATTATATAATTCAAAGCCTCATAACCCAACGGAGCCAAATATCCTAGAAGACGGACTAGTCAAACAAGAACAAATAAAATGGCATCAATGGCACTTAAAAAAACGATAATTTACGTGTCTTGTACGAAAAACGGCGTCATTTGACAATTTGTTCATATTTCCAAAATACTTTCCTAATGTATAGCTTTTAGGAAGTGCCATTGAGATAAACGCATCTCTTTCTTGCAATGCTGAAAGTTGCTTTCTAAAAAAATACATCTCGTAGGTAGTAGTCATCGAACACAAGTAAAACATGCAGAAGGAAAAGAACTTCTGCAGAACCTGCGGCTGTCACGTGCATGAAGGGGCGTTTTAAGATGTAAAATTCTTCGCGCCCATTCTGCGTCATGTACGGTACATGCGTAACACGTGGCGTTACGAGAACATTAAACTGGCTTTAGAGGGACGGAAACATAAGACAGAGAGGTCTGCTTCAGCGAAATCAATAACATGCGCTATACATATTATGATATGTGCAGCAGATGGCTGTAGTGTAGAATATGTACACACTCCGCAGTGGTCACGCTTATTTCTGTCCATTTTCCAGCTCCAGTAGCTTGAAATAGACATGCCGCTGACTTAGCTATACCAACGTGCGGCACGAGACCTTGAGGTGTCGTGAATTATTAGAAAGCCACGTGGCGACGGTGGAAGTAAACAAGGTTACCCAGCGGGCATAATCATGCACCTCCTTGAATGGCAGCCTTTCCCGACTTTATTACAAGCTAGCTCCATGATGACCATCGTAGGTGGTCACGGAGTGAAAATAAACATTGTGTGTGCAGAGAGGCGCACCAAGATGCGGAAGCCATTCCTAGCCGGTTTTGTGAGGGATTTCCTCCCCGCCTATATACTGTGCGCGCCAAGTATTTCCAAAGAAAGTGAAAGCTGAGTGGACGTCGTTGTATATCAACAGCGGGATTTCAAAGGTCGTGTTATTTTTCTAAGCAACATTACCGAGGACGTTTTTTGGTTGGTGAAGCCCTAGAATAAACGGTAAGTTTCTTTGACATTCTGAGTCATTTTACACAATGATTGGTAATTCTAATAATTAAATTTCAGTTATCAATGTCGGCATTGCGGAAAAAGGAATGCTGGACAAGAGTAGTGGATGTGTACGTCAGCTAAGCTTCGAGGTGATACAGAATAATACATCCTGCAATTAATTTCACACTCCAGGTGCAAACTTTGCATGATATTTCAGACATCTAAGATATCACTGCTGTAAAACAGGGCCTGTGGACAGATGCGTCGGCGCAAGTTGACGCAAAGTTTGATATTTGTTGTCTCTAGTGAATGACATGGTGCACACAATTATTGACGTTGCGATTGCCTTCTGGCATGCCATATGCATACGTTTATCGCAAAAAAATGATTGTAAACGAGGATAACATGACTAATATCTCCGCCAATCCATACAACAAGGACTAGCCCAGTTTCTTTTCTAGACTGGCTCCACACGAGGACACAAGTTTCTCACCAGTGCATCTGCGAGTTTTACGTAATGCCCTTGGGTGAAATCTAGTGCGTAGTGGAACAAATATTTCCACCGGTGCAATATTGCTAATTAAAAAATACCTTCGTGAAACGCATATGTCATCCTTTTATGCAAACTCAATACTAGGAGCTGCGATTTTTGACAGTGAATATACAAAACTTAAACACACAGCAGTGATCCTTGTGAATTGGATCAATTTAAGAGCCCCTGTAAGATTGACGCATTTTTCTCCAACTGACACAACTGCAGGTAACAATGGCTTCGTCAACAGTCGTCTTGTATGGGATTGCGGTGGCTGCTTTAGCCGTTGTCGCATGCAACGCCGAAGAGGAGATAGTTGTGCCTGGTGGTTGGCAGAAGCACAACGTGGCAGACAATGCCATCTACGATGAGCTGGCGCACTTTGCTGTCTCCAAGCAGGTGGCAAACCGGGAGTTCTTCGACACCGTGCTCAAGATTGTCGATGTAGAGAGCCAAGTACGTATTCCTCTTCACAATACACAGATGCTGCATAATATCAAACATCCTAAAGATTTCTATTACAAAATAACTAGCGCTTCAAATCTTGTGTCCTATTAATTTTACCGCCTGCGACTATTTGCTAAACATACTGCCAGAAAAAAATATCATCAATCTATTTACCTCATCAAACAGTCGCAAGCGTCCAGAACTGTTAAATAAAAAAGACCTCTTATTGCAGATATGATGCGCGTAACACCATAACATTTTCTGCAAGTGGCCGTGTAGAAGTTCAAAATAAATTGGTTGGATTAGATGTTCAGGCTTCAAATTACTTTAAAAATATTTAGCTTATCAAAAGCACGTTCATCAAAAATGGTACCCTTATTCAAAAGTTCTATTTTTCAGAGCAGCCAGTAGATGTTGAGCAATTTGCTCACTTTTTGCAGCAGCATTTATTTGCACTGTTACTTATTGCTCTGATAATAATATCATGTATACTCGTACAAAACAAACGTGTCTTAAGTTCAAAACATGCAATCACACAATATTCGCAGCAAAATATATTTAAATATATTTTCTTGTTTAGCCCAAAATCAACACGTGAATTGAAAAAAAAAACAAGTAGCGTTTGAATGATGAAGTGTTTCAAAAAAAAAGAAAGAAAAATGTTGCTGCAGAACTTATATTTCAAACCATCCAACACTTTTATCGGTCTCGCAGTTTTGCGCACAGGGCGTTTGTAATTGAAAAGCGGACTCTGAGGTTCAGTGCGCTTGAATAAATCAATCCGAATTCTCCTTACCAGCAATTTCGTAAAATTTCCTTGTTTATTCGTCTTGTTATCAAATTATTTCTAAATTGTGTTCACTTAGGAAGGCGTCTTGGTTTTTGCATCAATTTCTCGGGATAGCGAATTGATGGAGATTAGTAGCAAATGTACGTACCTTTTATTACCAGAAGTACATTTATTCACCACATACAAAACTTCTACTCATCACTGATTCTTTTGCTGCAGTAACGACTCAGTATTTCGTCTAAAACTATTTAAAATCACACAAGTATTCGTTTTATATAAATGCGAAGCATTCCTTAGCGAACTTTGACAAGTTTGACAATATCTATCTATCTATCTATCTATCTATCTATCTATCTATCTATCTATCTATCTATCTATCTATCTATCTATCTATCTATCTATCTATCTATCTATCTATCTATCTACCGCCTACGACTTTTAGCTCTCCTGGTAGTTTGGAGAGTGGAAGCTATTCCAAATTCGGTATTCCATAACATGGATGCATGACAATCATAACTGGCTAGCCATAACAGGAAAATTATGGCGTGCATGTGATGAATGTCATGATTTACGCATCATGTTCTTGCTGCTCCTGCGGTTGTTTTGTTCACGTGACATATCGCGAAGCTGGTACGGCATGACATGACTGCAAGTGGAACATACGGAACCGGCTCTCACATGAAAATCATGACATGCATGTCTTGTAAGAACACGGCTACATGCTACACTAACGATGCGCTCGCGGTTGTTTCTCTAGTTTTATGTACAGCAAATTCGTAATTACATGACGTGAATGGATGAAGAGGGTATATGACTGGTGCAAACATAATATACATGACATGCGTGTAATGCAAGAACAAGAGTACATACCACGCTGATGATGCACTGGTGGTCGTTCCAATAGCTTCACATATACGAGATGGCAGTACGTAGCGCGGATGGGTGACAAAGGTAAATGTGACGTCCAAACATGATAACCATGGTATGCGTGACATGTAAAACATGAATAAATGCTGCGCTCATAGCCCGCTCGCAGCCGTTTTGCCTGCTTAACATATACCAAACTTGGTATGACGTGACATGAATGAAAGACGAACGAAAATGCTAGGCGCAAACATGATAATCATGACATGGAAGTATGTACGGAATAGTTTATGTACACCTCGTAACGTTGTGCAGATTTAAAGTGACATATTATTACGAGGCAGTGGGCATGGCTCTACCGTCGTGGACAACAGTTCGATGAAAAAGAAGTGGACTCGCCGCGCGAGAGACTGGCAGCTCTGAAGCGTCACTTTGGCATGTAAATATAGGAAATACGCTCATTCCTCTCTTCCGTGTGTTTGCGAGCTCCGTAACAAATTGGTGGGAGTGCTGGGTAACGAAGCGCCATACAACGGAGCTCCGCAGTGGTCGTCAAATCGGAGTTTCCGTGATGGAACACGGGACTGATCCCACGGCCACCTCTCCATCGGCTTCGGCGACGCCCGCACCATCCACGGCAACGCCTCCACTGGCCCCACCCCCACCCACGTACGTGCTGACGCATCCGAAGCATCCTGGAACGTTCTGCGGTACGGACCAAGTTGATGTCGACGACTGGATAGCCGACTACGAACGCACCAGTGCTCTCAACCGGTATGATCCGACTCTTATGCTGGCCAATGTGCTGTTTTACCTGAAAGGCACGGCCAAAGTCTGGTACGAGAACCATGAGGAGGAGATCGGCAGTTGGGACACCTTCAAGGAAAAGCTTCGCGACTTATTTGGGAAGCCCATCGGTCGAAAGGCGGCTGCAAAGAAGGAGTTGTCTATACGTGCTCAGACGTCCACAGAGCCGTATATCTCATATATACAGGACGTGCTGGCTCTATGTCGTAAAGTTGACAACGACATGTCGGAGTCTGACAAGGTTGGCCACGTCCTCAAGGGCATAGCGGACGACGCGTTCAACCTGCTAATGTGCCGGAACTGTGCGACCGTCGACGAAATTATTGAGGAATGCCGGCGTTTTGAACTGGCCAAAAGCAGGCGGATTTCAAGATCATTTACTCGACTGCCGAACACCGCAGCGACGTCCTCCTGCGAAGATGGACTGTCCTCCCATCGGCAGTCTTCACCAGCGTCTGAAATTACGCGAATTGTCCGGCGGGAAATCGAAGCAATTACACCTACTCTTCCCGCCAACGGCCACGTCGATTTGCAAGTACCTCAGGTTTGCTTGGTACAGTCGATTGTGCGGGAAGAACTGAGCAATTTGGGCTTCGATGTCTGCGCCGTTGCTCAGTCTCGACCAATTGGCTTCCGTTCAAGGTCGCCGCCTCGCCCCAGGTCACCACCCCAAGAAAGGTCTTATCCACGCTCTCGCAATCCGGCCGAATGGAGAACTGCGGATGATCGGCCGATCTGCTTTAACTGCCGCCGCATAGGTCACGTCGCACGGTATTGCCACAACCATTGGTCTTCGTCCCGAAACCAGTATAACACTGCTCGCCGCACCGATAGCTACCGTCGTTTCCAACCTCCTGAGCCGATCGCCGACAACTACCGCCGGCCTCTGCCCGTCGATTCCTACGCCTGCGATGCCCCTGATACGCAGCACAGCCGCTCACCGTCGCCTCGACGTCACCAGTCTCGTTCGCCGCCAGGACGTCGCCCGTCGTCCCCTTCTCCTCTACGACGACGCCCGACCTCCCCGCTCAATTCTCACCAGGGAAACTAAGCGGTGCAGCTCTTGGAGGTGAAGCTGCATCCTCGGTACCGACCTCAAATCCTCTCCTTGTACTGCCGACACGACGAAATTTGATCGACGTCGACGTTGACGGCCTGACTGTTTCTGCACTTGTTGACACTGGGGCGCATATTTCTGTGATGAGTGCCCGACTTCGTCGCCGCCTGAAGAAAGTGCTCACACCGGCTGCCCCTGGCGTTATTCGTGTCGCCGACGGAAGAAGTCTTGCCATCACAGGAATGTGCACAGCACGCATCACTATCGCCGATCACCCCACATCTGTTCTCTTTGCAGTTATTGAGCAGTGCCCAAATGACCTAATTCTTGGTTTAGATTTCTTGTCCACCCATGCTGCTCTCATCGACTGTGCAACCGGCGTTCTTCAACTTGAACTGCCTCGACTTGGACCTGTGCCGTCCTCACCGTCACACCGCTTGTGCGCTGTTGATTATGTTCGGCTGTCACCGCAAGCCACCACGTGTGTTGCCTTAACGATATCACCAGCTCTTCCTGACGGTGACTACATAGTGTCTCCATTGGTGGATGTGCTCTTGGCTCGAAGTGTTGCTGTGCCGCATACAATCGTGACTATTGTGGACAACTACGTTCAGCTTCCGCTCCTTAACTTCAGTAGTTCGACCCAAGTTCTCCCGCAAGGCATTTCGTTAGCCCACGTTTCCCCACTTGATGCATGTAGCATCGTGGCATTGGACCCTGAAGACTGTTCGTCCCCTACTGCAGCCAGCCGAGCAAACGCACCTAGCGACGAAATCACGATGATGATCGCCCCTGATCTTCTGCCCTGTCAGTTGGCGCAACTTCACCACGTTCTGACTACCTACCGAGATATTTTCGACTTCGATGACCGCCCTTTAGGGCAAACGTCCTTCGTGCGTCATCAAATACATACCGGCGATGCTAATCCTGTTAGACGGCGACCGTATCGTGTTTCCCAGTCCGAACGCCAGGTCATACAACGAGAAGTCGAGAAAATGCTCTCCAAAGGAGTCATAGAGGCCTCTTCAAGTCCATGGGCGTCACCTGTTGTTTTAGTGAAAAAGAAGGATGGCAGCTGGAGATTTTGCGTTGACTACCGTGCCTTGAACAAGATAACCCGCAAAGACGTATATCCGCTGCCACGAATCGACGACGCCCTTGATTGCCTTCATGCGTCAAAAAAGCTGTCATTACCGGGTATATGCGAAATATTCGGGCAAATCTTCAGACTGCAAAGGTTGTGAGAATAACATACTTATTGCATGCTTTGCCAGACACATATTTGTACAAGAACTTTAAGCACTATTTTTTTTAAATAGCAATGGCTGTCTGATTGTCTTAATAATTTTACTAACTGGAGTAATTTCCAACAAAAATGACACTTACAAATGTATCAGCTCTCACAGCTTCACAGAACAAGTTGAAGTACAAATAAATATTGTATCTTGAAGACTTTTCAGATCATTTCAAAAATGACGACGATATGTAGAC